ACACCAGTGTGTCTTATTAGCACACTATAGACCTAATTTATTGACATTTGAGCTCATTCTCGAGAAGGGTGATATCTCTTTGCTACTGTGTTCCTTTTGTTTCTTGTGATACTTGCTTTTCAAGATGACTGCAGACTGAAGAAATTTAACCATAATCATTAGTTGTATTTTCTTGTTCTTCTGCAGAAACCATACTTGCAAGACATGTTACAAGTAGTTTAACTAGCCTGGACTTTAAAACTGCATTTTGTTTCTTCTTTTAACAAGATTCTCATTACTTCCCTATCTTTGTATTCTACTTGGCCTTTTGGGAGAGCATGTCCATATACCAACAGGTAACTCCCAAATGATCTGTGTGGCCACAATGACCATAATTATCTTGAAAATTCGTATAGGCTGATCCCTATAGGAGTTTTACCAAGGATGTCAACTGTTGGTTTCTTATGTTCCGCTGATCAGTTTGTCATGAGGTGATAATTCATGAAACGTTGCACTCATAGCGTTGACTATGTCTATGGTATTTTTTGTGACTGTATGTTTTGTTTCTTTGCAGCATGCACAGAAATGCATAAACTGAATCCATCTTGATTGAATTTACAAAGTCAGTATGTGCTCTTGTTCTCATTTCCCTAAATTTAACTTATAATACAGGAGTCACCACTGAAGAAGGCAGGAAACTAGCAAGATGAAAGTTTTTTTTTTTTCTTCTTCTTCTTTCTCACTCCAGTTATCGTTATTAATTCATAACTCTTGCTGTATTCCTTGCTACAGTAACTTGCTAGCTTTCAGTCCCATACCTGCTATGAAGCCATACCTTTTCAAAGGCAGTCATAGTTGCACTGAAGTTAGTGCTTCTGTTTGGCTCAGTCTCTGTTGAGGCACAGCATCTGAAGCATAAGGTCTGCAAGAAATGGTAGAGCCCTAAACTTCTCTTAGGGAACACAGCTGCTGAGTAGGAAAGAGCACGTCCTTCATCTTGAGCTCTTAAGAAAGAGCAAGGAACAAGTAAATGCCAATGAAGAGGAAGTCTGAAGTTGTCGTGTGACAGGTTACACAAACTGAAGGTCTGTGGTTCCAATAGGCAAAGGGAAACCAGAAATAACTTTCTGCAGCACAGAGCCCTTAAGTTTAAATAATACGAGTGTGTTGGTCATGACCCTCACTGGATGGTGGCTGGGCTTCTAGTTAAAATCAACCCAAACCAAGAAACTGCCCATGTTGCTGGCTCTCCTCAGCAAGGGTAAGGCCTCACGGCAAGGCCAGCCCCACTCCTGCCATTGCTGGCAGAGGAAACACAGCTTTTTTACTCAGGATGCATTAACTCTTCCATCATGGCCTCACGGACCTGAGGCCCTGTGTAAAGTATCTCAGTGTGGGGGCACCCCACTGGGCTCTGGTCCTTCTTCTGGTCATCTGAGGTGGCAGTGGTGACAGGAGAGCACTTGATGCCTGCACTGGTGCTGCCATACTCTCGGACAGGTTCCTCTCCAGCCTCCACTCGTGACATATCATGAGGATATGGCCATGTGAGGTGACGGCAGGGGAATGCCCTGTCCTATTCAGGCTGGGTTTTGCTGGTCGGAGTCACTTTGTTTCTGGCTTGACGTCCCCATGGCTGAAGGACGTTCCCCTGAGCTGCTCCCCAGGCATGTCTGGGCAGCATTTTCCTCATTCCCCTCACGCGGGAGGAGAGGTGTCTGCGGAGCGACCGCGGCGACCAAAGCGCCTTTCCTCTCGCCCCCCTGGCGGCAGCAGCCCTTCCCCTCGGTCTCCGTGGGCCCCACGGGACACGCGTGGTCTCGATGGAGAAGCGAGACCCCGCCGAGGCCCGCGGCCCGGGGTGCGCGGAGCCGGAGCGCCGCCTGCTGCCCGCCCCGAGGCCGCGCTGCCCGCGGCTCCCCCCGCCTGCCATTTTGTGGCCGCGCCTCACGCAGGCTGCCCGCGGAGGTTTCAGTTCCCTTTTATATTCTGTGGCGGATAGGTGCTAAGAAACCAATGTTTGGCCTTTTTATTTTTAGTATTTTTTTTTTCTTTTTCTTTCTTTTCTGCAACCGTAGTTTTCATATGAGCAGTCCTCGTCCTCCAACCCAATTCCTCTCACTGCCTTCCCCGGGCTGGAGCCCACTCCCACCTGCCCAGCATGTGGCTCTCCACAGTTTCACTACTGCTGTGTTTTTATCTGAACCATCTTGGTCGCTTCTGCCACAAGGACTGCATCAGTGCCTGCCTCGTCAACACTAGATCAGCCCAGCTCCCATTTGTGATAAAATTTGTCCTCCTTTATTTTCCTGTCCTGCAGATGTTTTAGTTTATTTCAGCCTTAAACTTTTAAGTCTCATACACGCCTGTGTGAGAAAACAAAGAAAACGAAAACACACACACACACAAAAAAAAAAAAAAAAAAAAAAAAAGTAGCCCAAAGCATATTTGTTCTGTAGAAGTCCTTGGGCCATACAGGTTTGGTTTGAAATAAGTCAATGAAGTGTGAATAGCAGTGATATTGCTCCTTTCACCAGCCAGAGGTGGGCGTAGGGCTGAAGGTGACTCCTTCCAAGCAGCAGCACAGCTCCTCCGTTGGGTCTGAGAAGAGGGCATAACAGTCCTGTGCTTGGAGCCTTACTGGGCTGCAGTGTCGGTATTGCAGCAACTACTGAAAGAGGTGGATTTAATATGGACAGCTGGTTGAATAAATGCACCACTATAAGTTACAAGATGTGCAAAAGAAGGGTAGTGTGAAGGAAGAACATTCTAGGTTTAGATACGCTGTTGCCATGTATTTCATTACGGCATTTAGTAGTGATCCAATAGATTTGTCAGGTGTTGCTGAATTACTTATATATAATTACTTATATATTGTGTATGGTGAAAAGAGGAAATGCTTTTGTTTCAACAGACTCATTCTTTACATAGGTAAAGGAGGTGAGTGTGGTGATGAAGCTAGCTAGTCTTTGTCTTTGACTGTCTAGGGATGGAACTATAACAACAGCAGGAGGTGGTACAACTGCAGAGGAGGCAGAATCACAAAAATAATTTTCATCTCTTCCTCTAACAGAGATGACTGGAATCTCCTCTGATGTCAAGCATCTAGGAGATGTCCCCTGTGGATGCTTTTTCCCAAAGAATACAGTTAGGATGGCATGATGCTAAAGTTGTCTTTGCTCTGGGTCTGGGATCTGAGGATCAAGGAAGCTCTGTGACCAGTCAAGCATGTCTGTTACTGTCATGGGATCTCTGTGTCTGCAACCTGGCATGGGTGGTTAGACACACTCAGTTCTCCAACTATTGTCCTTCATAATGGGCCACTTAGAGATGGAAAGCAGGCAGGAGGTTTGCACAGATCCAAGTTTTTAGAGGCATGAATGAGAAGAAACAAAACATGTTATTTCACTGTCAGAGATGCCACAGAAGAAAGCCCAGGAAGAGGAAAATAAAGGAGAAGAGGTGAAGGTAGTCCTTGCTGAACCAGTGCCCCAGCTTTGATAGTTTGCTTCCCAAGCTACCTCTTCCATGGCATAATCTCCCAAATGAATGTGATTCTTCTGTACCTGTCCAACAGTACAGAAGCCATGTCACATCTTTTTTACAAGTATGCAGGGTATGGTCACTCCATTGTGTTACATCTTTAGTCATGGTGAGGGCAGGTACATTTGTGGGGGGCTGGTCCCTGGTTGGTAGCTCCTTTGGAAAAGATGTGAACACAGCATTATATGAATACAGCTAAACTACTGCCCAGTCACAGGTGGCTCAGCATCTTCACACTATATTCCCCAACACTCCTGGTTCTTGATTGTGCAAGAGAAAAGTTAATTCAGAGCTGCCAGCATGGTGAGGAAAATTACAAAGATAGTATCAATCTCCAAATGAAATCTAAAACCCGGAAGGGAAACTGTGGGATATGTAACACAGTATGTGTACTATATATATGTAAGGTATATGCATATATACCAGTATAAGCACTGCAAATTATATTGGTTCACCTGCAAAGTTCAATTTAAACATTTCAGAAACAAACAAAAAACAGCTGTGCACTTTATACCCAATTGATTTGTTTGAGCAGTCTTACATTCATTTTAAAGGAAATGCTATGTGAAGGTCATGTTTCCAATATGGAGAAAGGATCGCTCAGACTGTAAGAAATGGACTTGCCCTTTTCATTTGGCCATACAATGGGGATTTGAGCAGTTACCTGAGCACTGTGGTGTGTCTTTGCTACCTTTGCTGCCTGAGCCTTCACTTCTGTTTGGAACTTGGTGGAAGAAAAGTGCAGACCAAAAAAAAAAAAAAAATGTTTCAAGGAAAGGAAGTAGAAAGAATATGAACTGATTTCTAGGAAGAATTTATACTCTGGTGCAACAGTGGAAGATATGTAATTTAGAAAATAATAATTTTTGGCTATCTGCATTACATTTACTTTCTGATGTTATACATCATTACATGTACATGTATTGTGTTTTATGATCTCTGGAGCTCACATTAATCTTTATTGAGAAATAACAAGAAAATCTGATACATAAAGAAGTTGCATTGTGATTCTCAGATGCTCACTTACAAATTGTGTTTTATAGCCTTAGCACAGCAGGGAAATAAAAAAAAATCAGATGAGAAAGTGCAAGGGAAAAGGGTTAACACAGTAATAGGAGATGTAAAGCTTACACTCTCTTAGAAGATGCAGCTGTACTTCTTTCTTACACCTGTGCAGACACTAAGTGGAATCTCCATTCATATGGGCAGAGGGAAGCACAGTCTTTTTTGTTTTAGTTGACTTTAATCTGAAATTTTCACATGTTGACAAAAGAACACAGAGTAGTTTCAAGCCAAAAGGCAGTGTAAAAATCCTCACATATTTATAAATCTCATGGTTTCCGATGGAAATCTCAGGCTTTTGGAGATCTTATTTGTGATATTTTTTTCAGCAAAAAGGTGTTTGTAATGATACAACCACATCACAGCAATAATCTCAGCTGTAATCAAACATACAAGCTGTGCAGAATTTAGCTAATTCTTATCATCTGTAGCTAATTGCTCTGTGCCCCCACAACCCATCTGTCCACATCAGTTGGGCTTCTCAGGAGGAAACGAGACCTTTTGCTACATGTCTCTAAATTCAGATGTAATCCGTGTGTTTTAGCAATGGGGAAGATTTGAGGTATGCAGGCCTTTGCTCTGATGTCTTCAGAGCTACAGAAAATTTATATGAGACTCGGTATGAAACATTTAAGGAAGGGTAGTCCTATGCAGTGGTATTTGATCCTATCAGGGTTTTCTTATCTAAGTTATGGAAAAGTAGGTCTGAAACAAAGCTTAAGAGATCTTCTGGAGTGCTCTATAGCATATAAGTTCACTTAGAACAATTGAATTAATCTCAAATGTTTGTCTTTTAATTTTTCAAGATCTGCAGAGAGATTCCATGACATACCAGTCTATCCCTGTGCTTCAATACTTTTAGTGATATACTATTATTTATTTATTTATTTTGCTGGGATATAGCTTGGATCTTTCTTACTGTACATTTTTACCTTTACTTCATGCCCACTTGGAGCCTTCAGAACATTTTACTACCTTCCTTTTTGCTACATTCCTTGCCTATTAACTATTAGAAGACATTGCTCCGTCCTCCACTTTCTCATTTCTAGAGAACCTCCATTTGTTTTGTCTTACCTCCTAAGTCCTACGGCCTCTGCTGTGGCAGTGTAAGTTGGAAGTCTTCAGCCCAGGAAGTATTCCTGCATGAAATGCAATCCTCTACAGACTTACAGCCAAGGAATACCCTGTGCACATACCTTTTTCTTTGGCTCAGTCAGCTCATATTATTGCTAGTGTGCATACCAGTACCTGCACTTGTTCCCTAGCCTTGCCCTCTGTTTTCCCTTGGCCTTGCATTGCTTTCCATTTTGCCTTGCTTTACTTTCCCTTCCCCTGTTCCCTCTTACCTATTGTAGTCCCTGCCACTGTTTTCATCCTCAGTCCTTACAGCATGCTCTAGGCAGTTTCCCTTATGCTCACCTTAATGGAAATTTTCCTTTTTGTCACCAGTTGTGAAGCCCCTTCCGTGTTGTGTGGTTCTGGCTGTGATTTTAGAGAAGAATCCTCAGTGCTCTTAAATTCCACATCCTTAACTGTGCTCCTCCAGAAGTGGATTCCTAAACTTGTGATCCTCCGCAGGACTTCACAAGGGTGCTTGGGCGCAGTGGGGACCTTGGCTGCTCCAACAGCTGGGCCACACAGCAGAGGGAGCTGCTGAGATGACATTGCCACGGCCTGTGACACTCAGAAGGCTTCTGCTGCCTCTCCTTGCTGGACTAGCTGTGTGTGGCCTCTGTGCAACCCGGCTGAATCAGGTTGCCTCCCCAAGGTTTCTGGGCTCAGCACTGACAGTTTAGGCTTGGCACATGACAGCCCGGACCTGCAACTTCTGGGACTGTCGATTGCATAAGGACTCTCCTGTTAAAACCTAACTTTGCATGTGCCCAGATATAAATGGGCCTTTTCAGGCCTTGCAACTTAGTAAAATTGTATTCACTCAGTCATATTTCCCTTCCCCTCTACCTCTCTAACATGCTAAAAACTGTTTTAAAAATGACTCCAAATAATTTCTGAGCATACTGGAAAAAGTTGGAAGAGTTATTTAGCAAGGGCAATACAACATTTTTTTATTTTTATTTTATTTTTTTCTTGACCTCACTCTTGTAAGATACCAAGCTGTTGGCTTTAATTGACACAAGATAAGTATGAGGCAGATATTTGGCATAGGAGAGCTTAGTTTTCAAAGATTAAAAAGAACTATGAGCCATAAAGAAGTTGGTCTTACAAAGTAATAGAAAATAGGAAATACTTTTAAAGGAGGAAATACTTTTTCTGTCAATTTCTGTATAAGTTATGTATCATAAAATACAGTTCAACAGTGCACAGTTAAGGATATTATAAAATATCTGTATTAATGAGTTACTGGTGATAAAAATACAATTTTATAACAAGCAGACCAATACATAAAAATAATAAAATTTGTATTTCTGTAAACTCACACAGACATCTAGTGTGGTGCCTAGCATGTAATCACTATGCCAGATCACGAGGGTTGTTAGTAAACATGCGCGTTATGAGAAAAAGAACCTCAAACTGAGAAATTTAATTTAATTTATTGCCAGTTAACAAAAACTCCTAATTATTAATTGGGCCATAGAGGAACCAAAAAGACAGCTAAGTAAACACGTAGAATCATCAAATCATACAATGGTTTGGGTTGAAAGGGACCAAAACCATTATTAGTGAAATGCTTCTCTTCTCCTTTCCACAGGCAAACAGTGCAACACCTCTCCTCTCCATGTCCTACTTTGTTTTCACCAGGTGTTATTCTCAGCCCTTCCCAATCCCTCTGGCAAGGTGAGGGGCAGCAGAAAAGGTTGGCATCGATGTGTAGTGGCTTCTTTGTGCTGCTTCTTGCTTCTTACACTTTTCTCCTCCTTCCATGTGGTGTGGCTCCTCCCTTCTAACTTGTTTCCTCTGCCCAAGTGTGGGTAATGTTTCAGTCCCTCAAAGGTGTCTCAGGCTCAGCATGGGTTGCCATTTTCCAGGAGCACATCTCTAGCCGCACCCCCAACAATGTCCTCTTCCATGCATATCCAACATTGTCTCCTCCACATCACCTCCATTTCTCCTGCCCGTCACAGCTATTGCTCTTTCTCAGACATGTCTTAAACTTGCATTTTTTTAGACATGACTGACTGAGATGAAGTCTTCAGTTGCCATGAAGATACGGCAAATTATTTGCTGTAAATCTTTATTTGGAAGAGTAAATAGTCATTGTTAAATTGTACAGCAATCTCCTGAGAAACAATTAGAGTAAATAACAAATTGCTATGAAAATCGATTCTATAGTATCCTACATGACATAAAAGTATACTATTAAAAACAAAACAAAACTAAGCATGCAATAAATGGGAGATGGTCACTGCAATAGGAAGTTGCCAACAGAAATATATTTGGGCTATAGTCTGAATTATATAATGAAGTAAATTCTGCATATTTGCAACAGAAAGAAGAGCTACACTACATTGGAATGACATGCTGCTTTATTCTTTTGTTGTTGTCATTGATTTATTTTTATTAATCTTCTGCTGAGAAGTCACTTATTTTTGCCTACCTGACACTAACAGCAAAGAGGACTTCTAGGCTGATAAAAGCCTATAAGGCTTTTTTCAATCCTTCAGACATTTCTCAAGCTGTTAATTTTATCAAACTCCTCTAGTTGTCATGAATCACATACACATAGGTTAATATACAACACTTTGCACACCCTCCTCTCACCCAGGTAGCAGTAACTTGTTGTTTCTGGTGTTTCACACCAGTATATTTTACTTTTTTGGAACATTGTTCCTGAACATTACAGGCAGTTTTATACACATGAGGGAGTCAATGCAGTCAATGACCATTTAGACTATTTAAATTGCATGGTTTTGCAAGGATCAAACTTAATAAGAAATGTATCTATCCATCACTGGAAGGAGCTCATGGAATTTATAATGAAAAGAAAGACCAAACGGGATCAATTCTATATAAAGCAGAAGTAGGCCCACCACAAAAGAAGAAAATCTATTTGACACTGCCTTCAAATGACAACTAGGGTGTTTTTACAGTAGAGCAGAAAGTAGTGGTATCTTTAACAATCACACATTTAGAAATGCTATGAGAGAGTAGAAATGCTTCTGTCCTTTCACAATATGTACAGCTTGGTTATTAGCCAAGCACAAAGACTGGCATACTGAGGAGGGAAGCATGCTGGACAGCTAATTCTTTTTCATTTACAGTTATTGGAAAAAAATGTTAAGGATAATTTTGCCTGAAAACACAAACCTGCAATCCCTATTGTTTTAATTATAAACTGTGTACATTGTATGCCAGGAGACCAGCAATGGAAAAACCAAGGTAAAAAGACACTCTTTGTATGTTTGGGCCTTTTTTCAGTAGGAATGAAGGAACAGGCTTCACTGGTATCCTAAAGGGTTCGTTGATGCCATAGTTTATGTAAATAACCGTACCCTCAGCTCTTCCATTCAAAGGAAGCAAAAGATCACGAACAACCTTTTCCTTCCAGATATTTTCATTCCGCCAGAGGTCATTCAGTTCCTGTTCTGAAAGTGAGCTAAAAAGCTGATCTATCTTTCTTTTGTGAACAAATCTGTTTAGGCCGCTGCCTTTTGCAAGATAGAAATGAGCCACAGGTTGCTTGAAACAACCTATGGCTCCATAGAGCTCTTTGAAAGACTCATATAGGCGTCTAACATACTTGTCCATTTTCCTAGAATCTTCATTTAGTTGTTTAATATTTTCAGGCCAAAACAACAAAGAGGCAAGGAAGAAAGGCTCTACACAGTATGAATTCAGTTCCACTTTCTCTAGAATACTTACAAGTTGACTTCTCAGTCCCTCAAAATGACATAACTCAGTGGATTCAGGTTTAATGCAATTCAGAACAACATTTGCCAAAATAAAATTCTGTTTTTCCTTCAGAGTTGCCTGTGAATTCGCCTCACACAGAAATGTGTATGCGTATACTATGTCTTCTATCTCTCTGTCAGCATTTCTCTGGTTTTTGTAAAGGTATGCCAAAACTCCAGAAAATGAGTCTGCTTTGGAAGCCTCCACAGCCTTTCTGTATGCTACTATTTTCTGAGACAAGGACCACCCTAAGGCCTGTTGACTTCTCAGTTGCTCAACACTGGAATCACAAAATATTTTTGTGTATTTTTTAAAACATTCTCGAACTGTCTCAGCCATTTTTGCCTCTACAAATTCTCTTTCATTTGTCGGTGTTTTGAAAAACACGAAGTAGTCTTCAAGGAAGCCAAATGCCCTTTTTAATTGTGATCGCAAATTTTTTAAAAAGCTGGAATAATGTTTAAGAACTTCACTCTCTGTGCTAGGGCTATCTAAATTCAAAGCACTATTTCCTGATAGATACATTATCATTCTTTTCCTACACTGTGAGTCTTCTTTGCTGAAAAAGGGAGTGTGCTGGAGGACATCAATAATATAAAGACCAGTTTCTATCTCTCCCTGATAACCCAAAGTATTGTAATTTTGAAGCTTTCTTTTACGTTTTTGATGCTGAAAATTTTGTTCAATGGCTGCATTCTTAGCTTGATGCTGAGATGTTCTGAAAGCCCATGAAGCACTTTGAGCAAGATCTAGCAAACAATCCAGTTCCTGAGCTGTTAGGACTGCACTCTTTCCTCTGTGCTCTACCTGGTATCTTAGCCTGTGTTTGAAGACTTGACCTAATGTATCTGATATGTATGAACTGTGTGGTGCTCGATCTTGGGCTTCTTTGGCCCAGAATAATGCTGAGTCATATTCATTTTCTTTAATGTAGCAGTATCTTGCTAAGGCTTGGCAAATGTGACTGTTTTTCTTAAACCTAGTGGATGCTTCTTTTAACACACGTTCCACATTAAAATATTTTTCTTCTTTATGAATGGCTTCAATTAATGGGGAGAACCATGTGTCTGACTCATAGCCACGTTCTCTGCGCTGTCTAGTAATCAGTAGGGTTATTATATCACGAGTAAGTTTGTCTTGTTGTAATGAATTCTCATAAAGCAAATCCTCCTTCAATAATCGCAATGTAATTTCACTTTTAGGCAAGTTATAGGTTAGTTTAAATTCTGTTAGGCACCACTCTGCTATCAATGTGTGAATGATGCGTAGACCTCGGTATGTCATGTGTTCTTGTACTCGAGTATACATTAGAATATTGGAACAAATTCCCATTTTTTCTATCAGTTTATCTTTTTTGCCTATCTCTCGAGAATTAATTCCCAAGAATTCTTCACATAGTGATATTGAAAGTGTAGATGTTCTTACATAAGCGTTTAAGAGTGTGAGATAGTAAACAAGTTGTGCTGATTTAGAATTTATATTCAAGTCACGCAAGGTATTTTTAACCAATTTTTCTATGTACTTTGGATCAAAGTTTTTCTTCATAATCATAAAAGAATAGAAATTATCTGGATTTGGGTGCATCTTTTCAATATCTTTTAGTTTCTGTTCAAAGGCCCTTTGCTCTTTTTCAGAAAGGGTCTGTTTTAAAGAAATACTGTTCAAGGAATTGATTGTTGCATTTTCATCAGGATTCTGAGATCTCATACAATTTAAAACGATCACTAAAGGATTTACATACGGAATACATTTTTCTGTTATAGCTGCCTGAATTTCGTTTTGCAGAAGATAGACATTTTCTTGCTCTTCAAAATCATCCACAAGAAGTAACACTGGTAAATAGCCACTGTCCTTGTTTGCTCCATAGGTGATTAAAGTTGCCACTTGTGTTCCAAAATCACTTGTTTTGTTTTTGAGAACAGCACATCTGAATTGCTTCCGGAGATTCCAGAGGATATGCATAGCTAATGTTGTCCCACCACAGCCAGGGTGGTGGTAAAGGTTGATAATTTTTACAGGTGACTGATTAGCGCTGTTAGCTGAAGACACAATTAGTTGTTCAAGGTTTTCATAACGATCCCTTTTGACAAAAACCGATGTGTAATTTTCAGAAGAAAAATAAAAATTCCACCATGTCACTCTACCACCTCGATAAAAATCTTTTTCCCGTTCTTTCATGAATTTTTTAAATTGTTCTTCATCCTTCTCTATCTCTGTGTCCTTGCACTCATTTTCACATAAGATTTCCAATGCTGCTATGAAATCTTCTTCTTTCTTTAGAAGAATGGTAGAACCGCCAATGGAGGGCAGAAGTCTTTTAGATGACTGTGTCACTGATTTCGCTTTTATGATGGTACCATTTACCATTTCCAGGGTTAAATTAGAAACACATTTATTTGAAAGTGCTTCCTCTCTTATGCCTCTAGCATGAAGAAGATCTTTCCATCGCTGGTCTGTACCTGCACCAATGCAAATGCAGGCCATGTCTTCTAGTCCCTTTAATTCTTGGTAAAATGTAACAAATGTCTCAGCAAGGGGATCCAATGGATCTTCCACTCGGGAAAGCAAAAGAAACACTATTAAAAACTTCCCACTCTGCTTTACATCTTTGTGTGAAAGAAATGAAATCATCTTTCTGACTTCAGCAGCCCTATCTCGTTGCCACGAAGCGTGATCTAATGGTAGTTCTTTATTGCTTTGGAAGTCTGATCCACTTTCTGCAATGATTCCATTGCAGAAAATCCAGTTTGTCTCCTGATGCAAATTCAGCTTCTCAGCTTGTTCAGAAACTGAACCCACTTTGTTTTCATAATGATATGGGAAGCGAAGTTTGGCATTTCGAGTTTTTTGGTAAGTCTTAAATACACCATTTTTTTCTGATTCAGGGTCAAAATCAAGCACAGCAAACCATTTAATTTCCTGTAAAAAGTCTAAGTGTGAAGTTTGACTTGGATGGCATTTGTTTGTTACCAAAATGTAGTAGTCATAATAACAGTCATCTAGCATGTCTCTGTTGCCAGTGAGCAGACTAATTAGCTTTAGTCCTTCATTCATTGTCTTCTTTTGCTTTAAGTTATATTCTTCCTCTGCTCTTTTACGAGAATCTGCTAACAATGTCAAGTTACATTTAAACTTTTCAAATTCATCTGTATTGATAATATTTTTAGAACTAGCTCCATTGCGGATGAAGACAGCTTTTCTGAAACACTTGCTCTTAAAATCATATATGTTGGTACAGAAATATTTTGTATTACAGATGGAGTGTCTGGGAACCACATCTATTTCAATGACAAACGTATCTGATGGAGTTTCATTTGGTAACAATACCTCCACAAATCTAGGTTCTCTAATGCAAGCTTTTGCAGCTCCAATGTATTGCTTATCAAAGTACTTTTCAATGTGTCTATTAAAATGGTCAATGTAGGCTTCTTTCTTGGTAACTTTTATTCCTTTGATTTCCCCATGTGGATTGTCATGTATTCCAAAATGAATAGTGCCATTTGTGCGAGAGTTCATGCAGGCTGCAGCAAACCTAAAGACTTCATTGCTAAATTTCATTTTAATATCTTCTTCTAGTGCATTCTCTGTGTTGCAAAGTAATTTGAATTCATGTGCTGGATCAATGAGGTTAAGTGGCCCTGTTTCAGGGACATTAAGAATATGATGTTGTATGTATCGAGTACCATCACTGAAATTATCAAAAGGATGTGGCATACATATGTTTCTGGCTGGGTGCTGGCTGCTTGATGGTGACTTCTCCGATACATTCTCCTCGTCAGCTGACTTTATTGCTGTTTTATTTTCTACAGGCTCCAGTTCAGAATCCTGCAGTATACTGGAATTAAATGACCTGTATTTCTTCTTGCACTCGTTCTTTACAATTTCTTCATCGTCTTCTCCACCAATACTCTGTTCACTGCCTTCTTGTCCCTCAGCCTGGTTTGAACTTTCAGTCAGAATGCCATGCTTTTTCAGGAAATGAATTATTTGAATAGCAGGCCCATGAGGTATGCCCATCTCCACCAGATCTGCTTTAGTCAACAGTTTCAAAGTAGAACCAGTTACATCTTGGTCATACAAGATTTCTGCATATTTCTGGTCAATCTTAAGAATTTCAGTTAAGAATTGTTTGACTTCTTCTTTTGTCCATGTTTCAGCATGTTGATAAAAATGTAATTTCTCTTTGTTTTCAGTGTTTGCATTTTCCATTCTTTAAGGAAAAAAAATACAACGTTACTAAACAAGCGAATAATGCATATTTTCTTGATGCTGTCTACGATTTATTACATAATTTCTGTAATCTGACACATGGAATATAACAGTTCAATTAGGGGACATCAGGAGAATGTGAAGTCAGATCATATATAAGACATTATCTGCTTCTAATAGGAAGATTACTTTTTCTTACAGAACAGCTTTATGTGAATCCTGTTTTTAAACTACTTCCACAGCTGACGCTACATAAAAATGATGGCTGATTGTTGTCATTTGGACACCCAACTTGCAGTTGTATGGGCCATCAAATACAAATCATGGTCACAAATGGCTCTCATAAAGGCTATAATTTGGTGGAGAAGGAAAAATTCCAAGCTTTTTTCAACCTAAAATGCGTTTAGGTACTCAATTTGTTCAAATAACATTGCAAAGAGACCTTTGGGTGGAAATATACTGCTGTAATTACTCAACTGCTACTACTGCAAATGAAAGGAAATTATTTACCATTTTACTTTTTCAGTACATTTTATATTCATTGAGCTTTCTCAAATAAAATCAAGCAGTTCAGCAGCATTTGCAGCATTTGTGGAGATGAGTGACAGGGAGGAGAGCATCTTACAATCCACTTGATCCTATTGAATTTGGACTTTTGGCATAAACTTTCAATAAAGAAGCACAGGGAAAATTAGGGAAAGAAAGGGAAGGGAAAATTTCACTTAGTAGTGTCCAATTTTACTTCATCTCCTCAATTCCTTTAGGAGAATTATATTTATTCCTCTGAAATTTATATTTTATTATGGAATGACACCCAGCTACTGTCATCACACTAGTGGAAATATTCTTTTCTTGTTGGTACCTGATAATTCCTGAGACAAAATAAATTCATAGATTTTTTTTTTTTCCATAGAAGAAATTTTTGTTTCTTGAAAGAATACTTTGTTATCTAACCCATCCTAGCAACATGTTTTCCTCAATCTATTACATGATTTCCTAAAACATGAACTTTAATAAGAAGCAACAATAGGGATTTCTTATAGCTAGTGTTGGAGTACTGTTTTCTTCCTAGTTTCGGTCAAGCTGCCTCCTGATTTAACTAATGAACTGCCAGGGCACAGAGCAAAGGTGGGGAGCAGGCTGGGGAAGCCTGCAGTTAGCTTTGCGCTCAACAGACTGTTCCCTCTCGTCACAAAAAAAGAAGGAAAACTAATTTCTAGTTCTTTAGAATAACACTATGGGAAGCACATATTATTAAAAATTGTGGGTGCAGAGGGAAACAGACTCGCTGTTTTTATGACAAAACTGATCTGGCTATCATCCTCACCAGTAACTCCACCCAGGGTATCTGAAGTCCGAGAAAAGAAACTGAAACTAAAGCTCTTCTCTGGCTCAGCGACTATTCAAGCCAGCAGTGTAAAACTATGACTTTAAATCCCACCAAATTTACAGTTCGCAATAGAGGCACAATTTACTCCTAACATAGAAGCAAACATGTTTATGACCTTTAAAACAGTGACTCTGTGTTTTAAAATTTGTAATCCCCGCCCCCTCCCCTCCCCCCAATGAGACAAAGCTCTAGAATGGGATACTTTCCTTTCCTCGTTTTGATGTAGTGTTTCTAGGTTTCATGTTATTGGCTAGTTAATGATTCTGACCCACTGAAGTATTTCATAGATGTTCTTTTCCAGCAGAGAATCACTCTACTGTATTTTTTCTGCAGAATAATTTCTTTCAGGACATGTTCCTTGGGATTAATTCACTGCAATCTCCTAACAGCCACATTTCATGTGCAAAAATTTTTACAGACGATTCAGAAAAGTTTATCTTAATAGATTATAGATCATCGTATGTATAAAATTAATGTCTCAGAACCAAGAAATGGTATCAGACTAAGACATCACATCTTCATAAAATATTCCAGAGTAGAATTAAATGTGTGCACTTACTGTAACTGTTCTGTTCCGCAGTTTTCTTCCTATAGTTGTCCAGTAAGTGTATTTTGTTCAAGCAGGATACACAACAGCTAAAATTCAGCTGAATTACTCTTCTAAGCTATTAACGAAAAACAAAACAAAACAAACCACCCTAAAATTAGTTTATAAACTTTTAAGAAGTCTGAGATCAGAAATAGTAGGAGGAAAAGTGCATTGATAGACATACAGTCACTTTTTCCTAGTGGCAAACACACATCTTTGGAGGAGACAGATAGCAGTGCCTGCTACAGAATATTTAATTCTCCTTACCTTTTTCTTGCATGTTTCTGGTTTACACTTCCATGTCTGTGACTAAGATGCTCTAAACTGTGCAACTTTGAAGGTGGGTGTTGCAAAGAAGCTGGAGGAAGTAGTTAACAGGAGATTCTAGTTCCCTCCTCCCCTTTTGCTTTCTCTTTTGCAAGGCAGAGTTCCTTCTGCTCTACCTCTTCCTAGCTGGGAAAGCACTGTGGTTCCCTTATGGGGGGGAAATGCAATGAAAAGAAGCTCATGGAGCTTCTTTGAGATAAGGACAGGGAGATCATTCACCAGTTACCATCACAGCTGAGACAGATTCAGCATAAGGGAGATTAATGTGATATATTGCCCACTAATAACAGATTAGTGCAGTGAGAACTACCAGTGAAGTAAAGACACCTTCCCCCTATCCACCCTCTTCTATGTCCTCCCCCTGAGCATCTCAGGAGAATGGGGAATGGGGGCTGCTGTCAGTCCGTGAGGTTTCATCTCCACCGCTCCTTCACTGTCACTCTCTGCCCCTGCTCCACGTGGGGTCCCTCCCATGGGATGCCATCCTTCCCGAACGGATCCTGCAGGGGCTGCCCTCAGGCAGCAGCTCTTCAAGAACTGCTCCCACATGGCTTCGTACCATGGGGTCCGTTTCCCAGGAGCAAACTGCTCCAGCACGGGTCCCCCACAGGCGGCAGCCCCCCCCAGACCCCCTGCTCCTTCATGGGCTCCTCTCCACGGGCCGCAGCTCTGGCCCTAGGCCTGCTCCTGCAGGGGCTTTCCATGGGCCACAGCCTCCTCCAGGCCACATCCACCTGTTCCACCAGGGGCTCCTCCACGGGCTGCAGCGTGGAGATCTGCTCCATGTGGGACCCATGGGCTGCAGGGGGACAGCCTGCTCCACCAGGGGCCTCTCCACAGGCCGCAGGGGAACTGCTGCTGCCTGCCTGGAGCACCTCCTGCCCTCCTGCTGCACTGACCTGGGGACTGCAGGGCTGCTTCTCTCACATTTTCTCACTCCTCTCCCAGCTGCTGTTACATTTTTTTCCCCTTTCTTAAATTTGCTCTCACAGAGGTGCAACCAGCATCTCTCACCATGGACGGGTCCTTTTTGCAGCCAGCTGGAGCTGTTTCCAACATCTTTCTGACATGGGGCAGCTTCTGGATTCCTCACAGAAGGAACCCCTGCAGTCCGCTTGCTACCAAAACCTTGCCACATAAATCCAGTACAATTGGTACCTGTAATGTGTGATAAAGTGATCTGATAAAGTACTATGTGACTGTTGTAAATGTTGAACACTGTGCATCCTTTGAGCCTCAGATTAATAGCTCTTTGTGCAGACTTTACACTTGCTGTTATATTGATTTTTTCCAAATGAGGACTCGATATGAAGTACTTTATTGATATAAAAACTTGCCAAAATATGCTGTGAATTATCCATTTATATCAGTTCTATAAATCCTACAATGACCAAAGTACAGCTTGTAGACCACTGCATTACATCTCAATGATACAGAGCAGCCTGGTTGCAAAATGCGTTTGTAGTTTTGCACTAACAGGAAATAGCTTTTTTTTTTTTTTTTCCTGATTGTTTGTGTGTTTGTTTGTTTTTCCCTTTTGTTTCAAAATTGTGTTAGATATGATCAAAGATTTAATAAGTGGGATGTGGTTTTCAGCATTTTCCTTCCTGCAATATCCTCAGCCACAGACATTTGCTAAATAATTTTATTTTTATTCTTTCTCCCATGCCTATTATAACATAGACATCAATAGGTTTATTGAATAGGTTTATTGTTTATTATAACATAGACATCAAAAGGTTTATTAGACCTTGAGAGCTCTGTAACTACTGTTATGGAAGCATATAGCATACTACTTGTGCCTAATGTGTTGTTTGATTTTTTTTTTTTCCAAAGTGATATGTTTTACCCAAGAGACCATTTTCATAAAAGTCTTAAGGCTTTTCTTCAGTGCATTTCTCTGGCATTACTGCTTTCTTTGACAGTCCCATGGAAACTCCATCTCTTGCCAGCAGCTGCTCCTATGCCCCAACCCAAGAGCAATTCTATCAAAAAATTACAAAAGGATGAAAAAATGAGGAGCCCAATCTTGCTGAACTTGCTTCTCTTGCTTACATTTGCATTCAGCAGTCACCATTATCAGTTCCTTAAAGAAGGCAGCAAGGGAAGACTGCCCCCTGCCACAGCTCCACAGTAAGATACAGTCCTTGTCTTTTCCTTAAATTCTCAGTTGCTGAATAGGGAAAGTGTAGGGAACTGCAAGTGATCCTTTTCCCTGGGAACAAGTCTCATGAGCACTGTAATGCTAAGTAGCCAGACCAGAGACAGCAGGACCTGCTAGTCTTCTAGGAGCAGCAGGCATGTTGCTATAGGCTGTTTCCATGCAGTTCGTGGATTGTCAGGCAGTAGGACTGATGTTCAGAGTGCCACCCATCCCACCCTCACTCCAGTGTGCTCTCTGGTCAGATCACAGCCTGAGGGAACCTCTGCAGGCATAAACCTGTGGCTGCATGCTCTTCATGCTCGTGAAAAGAGTACCTATGCTTCTTCTGCTATTTCGGGTCAGTTGAGAAGCTCTGTGGGTGTTAGTTTCGTTTTCTCAATTTGCTGGCTATTTCCTGATTGTATTGCTTTGGACTGAGTTTCCCTAAGCTGTGTTTGTACAGGATGATGTTGCAACCGTTCTTCTCCTGCATGAACATTTAACAGATGATCTTACACTGACCTTCCATGGCAGCTTCTGTTGATCCACATTGCCTCTGAAGAACTATCACGCTTCCCCAGGTCCTGGCCTATTCTCTTGCACCGTATACTTGTGCAGTGAGCTGGCCCACAGAGCCAAATCACTCTCTCACATTAGTCTATGTACAGCTCAGGTCTGGGCAGGTTTCTGTGAGGTTGTTTGCCCTCCTTATAGCATAGGGCAGACCGTACTGCTGCGAGCATCTTAAGGTGCTGTAAAGCTACACACTTGTACGGGCCTCTACATTTTCAGGTTATCAAAATCAATGCAAGCAACAGCTGCAATCATTGTGCATATTCTTTGTGTTCTGCCATCTGAGGCCTAGTACAGGAAGGCCATGACCAGTAACTTGGTAGCTTGCTTTGTGTTATTTTTCACAAGGTAGCTGCCTGCTTAAAAGCCTTGGGCATCGTGTTCTGAAACACTGCCTCTCTAGGAAACACACAGCTCACAGCTCCTTTCCCACCCTCACAAGTTCCCTCCTACTGTGGTGAGGGTCCTCTCATGACCCTCATTCCTTGTGATGGAAATCCCACGTATATCATAATCCTAATTTCTGAATCACAGAATCACAGAATCACAGAATTTCTAGGTTGGAAGAGACCTCAAGATCATCGAGTCCAACCTCTAACCTAACACGAACAGTCCCCACTAAACCATATCCCTAAGCTCTACATCTAAACGTCTTTTGAAGACTTCCAGGGATGGTGACTCCACCACCTCCCTGGGCAGCCTGTTCCAATGCCTCACAACCCTTTCAGTAAAGAAGCTCTTCCTAACATCCAACCTAAAACTCCCCTGGCGCAACTTTAGCCCGTTCCCCCTCGTCCTGTCACCAGGCACGTGGGAGAACAGGCCAACCCCCACCTCTCTACAGCCTCCTTTAAGGTATCTGTAGAGAGCGATAAGGTCGCCCCTGAGCCTCCTCTTCTCCAGGCTGAACAAGCCCAGCTCCCTCAGCTGCTCCTCGTAGGACTTATTCTCCAGGCCCCTCACCAGCTTCGTCGCCCTTCTCTGGACTCACTTGAGCACCTCGATGTCCTTCTTGTAGCGAGGGGCCCAAAACTGAACACAGTACTCGAGGTGCGGCCTCACCAGAGCCGAGTACAGGGGGATGATCACCTCCCTAGCCCTGCTGGTCACACTGTTTCTGATACAAGCCAGGATGCCGTTGGCCTTCTTGGCCACCTGAGCACACTGCTGGCTCATATTCAGCCGACTGTCCACCATCACTCCCAGGTCCTTCTCTGCCTGGCAGCTCTCCAACCATTCCTCTCCCAGCCTGTAGCTCTGCTTGGGGTTATTGCGCCCCAGGTGCAGGACCCGGCACTTGGCCTTGTTGAACTTCATGCAGTTGACCTCAGCCCATCGGTGCAGCCTATCCAGATCCTCCTGCAGAGCCTTCCTACCCTCGAGCAGATCGACACACGGATAGGGAAAAGATAGAATTGAGCACTCATTTCTTCTGGCGTCTCAAGAATGAACCTGTAGAACAAGAGTTACGATCCGAGCTATTCAATCTATCAGAACTAGACTTCTTTCTCCACTTGTTCTGTAAACCTCCGATAAGGAATAGTGTGGATTTTCCTAGGGAGCCTATTTGCTGCCATCTGGCTTGAATTTTCTGAATAGGTCTTTCCTCTTCCTCCTCTTATTGAATATGGAGAAAAAGTGATCATGCCCCCCCCCCACACACACACCTTTTTGAATAGCTTTTTAGAATACTTATTTTATTTCTATTGATTTTTTTTTTTCCCCACCAGGATAAAACATTTCCCTGTTTGATACATTTTCTAAACCAAATGATTAAGAATTCTTATTTATGCTGTTTCTCAAAGGCTTTCCTCGTTTGACTCTATCTTCACACTTGAAAGGAATTTAAAATCCAGTCTTCTAACTGTCCTAGCTTGCTGTTTGGAATAGTGGCCCATAATAATTTAATATAATTGTAACATTTGATACTTGTATATACAACGTGTGGATGAGACTAAGCATGTTGGTCTGAAAGGACTTGGAAAGGATTTGAAAGACAGATTTAGAATTGAATAGGGTTTGAAAAATATCAGAACTAAGCAAGGTGAACTTAAGCAGGAAAGTGTAGTTCTAAGGAAAATAAATGAATGATTCCCAACACCTCCTTTTAAAAAAATAAATTATAAGGTGAGCTTTTTAAATTTTATAAGGTTTTGACTTAGTAAAACAACCTTATTCATTTCCTATTAAGAAGGAAAAAAAAAGCAATATAGAAAGTATAGAAAGTACTTTTTAGAACTGCGAGAAATGCAAAAAATGAACCATGATGAAAATCTGAGTTAACAATAGAAAATGTATTTTTAAAGAACATGCCTTTATTTTTGGTCAGGGCGTGCTGTTGCATGAAGTGCACTAGTTCAGAAGGCATGCACTATCTCTATA